AGTCGTCAAGAGTGATAATCAAGCACCCGCCATGGGGTCCTGCCACCATGGGGTACTTTCCAACGAACTCTGAAGATCCCAGTGGAATAACCCCACAACACAAATAGCCCTACTGAGTTAGACACTCATCCACCAATGATGAGGGCTGGTAGTGGTGTGTGGCTTGGTGATCCGGGGTCACCTCGCGGGCCGAGCGTTTGGGTCAGACGAGCCAGCTATGGGGCCCATGGGTAGTCTGAAGTGTCTGACGGTCGGGTCTTACGAAAGGTAACTGATTCTACTGGACCTCGGACATCTCCCCAGACATAGTGGATACAACATCCACGCTACAGACACGGCCTAGGCTGCGTTAGGGACCTGTACGGGTGAAGGGGTGAGCACTTACTTACGGTGACAACGACATCACGTTTCAGGGGACGTTAAAGACGTAAATATTACTTCACTCAGAGCATAACAACTACGTTACTGTCACACTTGCACAATCAACTATTAATTGGGTCAAATCACGTAAGAAGGGCGAATTAGAACACATAGTGGAATGACCTACCTGTCTGGGTGAAGGGGCGAGCACTTACTAACAGTTGAAATGCCCGCAGCACCCTCACTCAAAATAGGTCAGGGAGTCCACCTACTTCTATTTCGATGAATTAATTTACTGTACACTCTGACGTTGAAACTGAGACTATGAGCTCAGTTTCATTCCCTACTATTATCTTAAGAACATAAGAACATAAGAATGGAGGAAACTGCAGCGGGCCTATTGGCCCATACTGGGCAGTCCCGTTTACACCCAACCCCTATTGCTCATATAAGCATCCAACCTATGTTTGAAGCTATTCAGCGTATTCGAGTTAATGATGATATTTTGGTAACTTGTTCCATTCATCCACTACTCTGTTTCCAAACCAGTGTTTACCTATTTCACGCCTAAATCTAAATTTGTCTAATTTAAAACCATTGTTACAAGTTCGCTCCTGGTTGGATAGTTTGAGTACCTTTGTAATGCCCCCTTTGTTTAGCCCTGACTTCCACTTATACATCTCTATCAGGTCGCCCCTCGCTCTACGTCTCTCGAGGGAGTGCAAATTAAGATGCTTTAACCTGTCTCAATACTCAAGGTTCCTAATGCCCGGGATTAGTCTTGTCATTCTCCTCTCAATTCTTTCCAATGATTCTATATCCATCCTGTAATACGGTGACCAGAACTGAACTGCGTAATCCAGGTGTGGTCTCACAAGCGCAAGATACAGTTTTAGGATGACCTCGCTAGCCTTGTAACTAACACTCCTTTGTATGAACCCAAGTACTTTATTAGCCTTGTTACGAGCAAAAACACATTGTTTACTTGGCTTAAGGTTCCTACTTATCATTACTCCTAAATCTCTCTCGCAGTCGGATTTCTCTATGGCATCATTGTTCATCTGGTATCTGGTTTCCCTGTTTCCATCTCCTATACTGAGTACTTTACATTTGTCCACGTTGAATTTCATCTGCCATTTTTCAGACCATTCGAAAAATTTGTTTAGATCTTCCTGTAGTTTTGCGGAGTCCTGGTCAGATTTAATAACACGTCCTATTTTAGTGTCATTAGCAAATTTACTTATGTTGCTGTCTATGCCGATATCTATGTCGTTTATGTATATAATAAAACATAATGGTCCAAGTACTGAGCCTTGGGGAACTCCTCTTGTGACGTTGCTCCAATGGGACTTAGTGCCGTTAATGCTCACTCGCTGTTTCCTGTCCTGTAACCACGCCTTAATCCATTTAAGGATGTTACCTTTGATGCCATGTGCTTCTACCTTTCTAATTAGTCTTTCGTGGGGGACTCTGTCGAAGGCTTTGCTAAAGTCGAGATATACCACATCATAAATGTGCCCCTCGTCCACCGATTCGAAAACTGATGAAAAGAATGTTAATAGATTAGTTAGACAAGAACGTCCGCTTGTGAAGCCATGCTGGGAATCATTGATCAATCGGTGCTTCTCCAGGTGATTTCGTATAGAGTTTGAAATGATAGATTCCAGTAATTTGCCTACTATTGATGTTAGACTGATTGGGCGGTAGTTAGAGGATAGTGATCTATCCCCCATCTCGAAAATCGGTATTACATTCGCTATCCTCCAAGATTCTGGTACTACACCTGTTTTTAAGGACATGTTAAACAACTTTGCTAAGGGCATACTAAGCTCTTCCTTACATTCCTTTAATACTCTGGCAAATATCTCATCGGGACCAGGTGACTTATTAGGCTTTAGTTTGTCTATTTGCTTACTAACATCGTTATTAGTCACTACTATCTTCACTAACAATGCTCTGCCTGAGCTATCAAAAGCAAAATTAAATTGATTACAAAGGGTTGGATGGCAACAGGTCCCAACATACAGCGTCTTGCTACGAAATCCGCCGATTATATTCAAAGTTCCCTTTAGACAAAGACGGCCTATCGATGACCTCATCAAGGAAACAGAGAAAACGGTGGACGTTTCCACTGGGGGAGTCAGAAGGTTTTGTGGACGTTTGAGCGTAATATGAATCTTTAAGGTTTTCAGGTTAGCCGTCATCACGATCATGACACGATAAAGAGGGAAATGAAAAGAAAAAGAGAGGAATAGGAAAAACCAAGAAGAGAAGTTATTGCCATATGTAGCGAGAGTTTTCAGCACTATTTGTATGTTTTACAAAACACCAATGTAACTTACGGGAGTAACTTACCAACTGCTGACACTGTTATAATGAGACTAAGATTGGGATACAAATATTAATGGCAGATAAGTGGAGGGGCGGGTCAACCTTGTCAACTGTGTCATCTTAGGGATGCACAGACACTACAACATTATGTATTAGGATGTGAAAAAATCCAATCAAACAGGAACAGTGAGATCACTTCTCTAAAGAAACAAGTTTGTTGGATGATTAATAATGGAAAAATTAAAGTAATTCTTGCAATGTATAAAAGTTTTGCTCCAAGGATATGACATTTAATTTTGTGTAAGATTACATTATCTGTTCTTTTAATGTAGTACAGTGTTCATGACAAAATGAACTATTTCATTGATGTAAAAATAATTATTCTATTAACATTTATAACTTTTGTAAACCCCAGAAGGGGATGGCAAAGGTGAGGGTGGGAGTAGTATACCACCTTGTCCTTTTGATGTAATAGTTTTATGATCAATAAAGTATTTCAATTTCAATTTCAAATCGAGCCTGGAGGCAGGTATAGCAGGTGATCCTTCAAGCAAGTCTACATGAATTTTCACAGAGCGTGGTTTTCGGCGGTATCGTCAAATTGGACATTTTGTTGAGAGAAGACTGATGGTAGATAGGCAGAATCCTTTCAATTTTTATGATGACACGCAATTTAAACAACGATATTGGTTCAGCAAAGGAGATTTCCTTGATATTTTCCGTGATATGGAGCATCTACTTGACAGGCCTGTTGGCTATGGTTCACCTCTACCTCCCATTCATCAGCTGATGATTGCTGTGAGATTCTTCGCAACGAATAGTTCCGGGTAAGAAAGAATTTGGTTACTGAATGAGTTTTGGAAATGTGTTACAACACGTCCCAACCTAACCTGACCTGACCTGACCTGACCTAATTAAAAATAAAAGTGATTTGCCCCAAAGATAAAAAATCAGAATCATTTAAAACAGCAAGAAAACTCGCAAAAAATATATAATTTTCATGTGAAAAAGGTGATGGGTGGATAACGAAAAATTACCAATAATTTTCCTAAGGAAAAACATTCAAAATATAGAAGTGTCAGCGTTCCTAACATTTACCTGCTTGAACTTCATGGAGGACCCTAAACACGATAGTGTTGTAACACATTACCATAACTCATTCAGTAACCAGATTCTTTCTTACCTGGAAACTATCGTTGCGAAGAATCTCAAAGTCTAACCATCAGCTGATGAATGGGATGGTAGAGGTGAACCATAGCCAACAGGTCAGTGTACAGGGTGATTCTCAAAGGCATACAGTATTTGCAGGGTGTATTCCTGGGACAACTGCAAGACAAAATCTCGGAATCTGCATAATTTACTAGCTACAGCTCTTGAAAGGTGTTGATGTAATGACAGTGAGATTGGAATCAAATATCAGTAGATTTTTGTGTAACTTTATGCATAAAACTCTACACAGTAAGATAAAGAGGCAGAGGCAGGGATTTTTGAACTTCGACCCCATTAACAAACTGTATCATACAGTGAAGTTACATACATAAAATTACACAAAAATCTCCTGATATTTCACTCCAATCTAACTGTCATTACCTCAACATCTTTCAAGAGCTGTAGTTAGTAAACTATGCAGATTCCGAGATTTTGCCTTGCAGTTGTCCCAGGAATACACCCTGCAATTCACTGTACGCAATTAAGAATCACCCTGTATGTTGGAGCATGTAGATGTGTCTTGCTGATATTCATTACCATTAAATAACTTTCAGTTTACATTCATTCTATTTGTCATACATATATTTGTATAATATATCCCATGCTATGCTAGGAGTTCTAGTTCATTTGACATTTTATTCCACAATATTTTGTTATGAGACTTGTCTATATTTCATAAGTCGCAAATATGGGGAAAATGTAACAACAGTTTCTCCTGTATTTCATGTGTATATTGGTCAACTTCAATGGCTTTATTTTTATAGGAAATTGTTTGTTCCGATTGCTTGTCCCGCTATGCCAAGTGTCTCTTTTTCTGCTGAAGGATATTATGAAGTCAAAATCTTTGACCACAGATCCTACACACCAACATGTAACCACATGTCATCTCAGTTTTTTTCTTTTTAGACCATTGTCAATTATTCCTGATTTTTCTTTGGATAAAATTAATGTATCTTCTGATATGACAAATGTTGTATTGTACTGTAGGTGCAAATTGGATAAAAACAGTATACAGTATAAACAAAAATCTTTATTTGAGTTTGTAATAACATAGACTCCATAAAGTTGGAATAAAAATCATCTATCCTTTTCTTTCCCTTTTAACCTTTTGACAAGTATCTGCAATAAAGTAACAATCTGTAATATTGCAACAGGTAATTCATAGTAATAATGAACATATGACCAATGAATATACAATATAAGTGTGATGAGAATTCTGTTTGGAAGGCACAATATACTGTATTATTAGAATACAGGATTCTATATTGAACTTGGTAATAAATAAAAAATTATGTCCAATTTATTCAGGAAAATAGGCACTAACTTCCAGAATAATTGTCCAATATGAATATAACAAAATTTCACATTACACAGAAAATACTGAACTTGAATTAGTTGTCTTGTGGTAATATGATACTGTACATAATACTCTATGCCATAAACCTATACAGGTATATTAAAATTGCGAAGAAAATCCCACGGCTCTTATGAAAAATTTGCAGTTTCATAATGTCATTAAAAATATAAATTTTAAAGCATTGGAAATTAAAAAATATATACAGAATGAACTTTATAAAGCACTGATTTATGATATTAAACATTACAAAGGACCCCATATTTTTATTCTTCTTGAAAAAGTAACTCCTTTTGTTTTTCTCTTTTCAAATCATAATATTCTAGAGCCAATTTTTCTGTTCTAAGCTTAGAATGTAGCAGTTGTACATCTAGCTCACAAGACTTCTCAACATTCTTTGCTGCCACCTTCTTGGGAGTCTGATACTGGTGTCTGAAAGTTTCATGCCTGTTACTACACCCTGAGTAAGGTCTTGATACTTCATTTTCAGTGCCGAGACTTGAATGTGGCCTGGAGTTAAATAAGTTGGATGAAGTCCCTTTTCTGCCATTCAATATTTCCCCCATGTCATCCTCTACTATTTCATAATTATGTATGATCACAGCATCATCTTGGATAATCCCAAAGGTTTTCCCTGCTTGATCTGCAACACATTTTATTTTATTAATTAAGCAACAAAATTCAGTTTTACTTTGCAGTTTGCTATTGAGTCTAGTACATGTACATGTTAAGGTATTTTTAAATACTACTGAATCCAATTTGAAATACAATAGTAAATACTAATACTGTATCTAAATTGGAAAATAAAATTTGAATACACATTTAGAAAATATCTATACTGTATACAGTAGGATATTAAGAAAATGGTCATAATTTCTTGATAGAGTATTATTTCATTGTTCTGACGATTTTTACAATTTGAATGGCTTATTTTCTTATATTTTTCTTACTATGACAAAAACAGGCAAATGTAAAAATGCATTGTTTCAGAGGTATGAATAGCTTAAGTGATATATATTTTTTACAAGAAAAATTTATTTGATACAATAATTTCAAATGGATAGATACAGCATTCAGTATACTAGTATTCTGTACACTTGTCAGAAGCTCCCAGTAAGTAGTTCCATATAAAGAGGATAACAAGTCAATATTGCCCTTATTTGTGGGTGTGAAAACATTTTTATTTTACATTTATTATCTTATATGATAACATGGGATGAAAAATGATAACATACCAAGTGGCAGTGGTTCATCGTCCCCTATGTCAGTGTCTATAGGCTGGTACGTCTTTGGTGGTAAAACTGCTAGAATGTCCTCTACTGCCTGACTGGCAGGTTGAAAATCTGGAGGACCACCACCTGTTTTCACATGAGATCGTCTTTCACTGTAATACACAAATAAAATGTTGAACGTTAAAATTAGAATAACTAAATATTACTAAGGAAAACAATGGAGATAATGAAGGTTAATTACCCAATCTATTAATATACTGATACCAATACAGTAGCATTTAATTGATCACAATTATTAGAGGTATCGTAACAGTTGCAAGTAATGATGGAATCATGAAAAGTAAAAAAAAAAAGGTCCTGAATTACATGATAACATGGGATTCATGTCTACAGTGTATTCACATACAGTACTGTATATGAACACGCATATATCTTCAGTATACAGTATTTCAGTAATCAGTACCTGTAATTCGCTCAAAAATGCCACAACACAGAATAATTAAATTACGAAATGGTAAAGCAAAAGGTAACAGTGACTAGTTAAGGACATAATGAAATCAGTGTTTTTGATCATTTTTCTTCGGTAATAGTCAAGGAGAAGCACACATTGAAGTACCATACCATGTCTATGGTATTTTCATTTACTTTTCAATGAATTATGACAAAAAAACGACATAGAACAGTTTGTGGGAAGGCTTGCAGCCTCCCCCCATGATACTCTTCATTCTAGGCAAGTACATACATTATGGCAAGATAGAGCATGCAAAAGTTTTTTTTTACATCAATTGTCTTAATAAATACTATAGTCAATATTTTGCTTTTCCTAGTGCATTTTTGTATCACTCATCATTGTAAGCCTCTATTCTCCTACTGTACTGTATACAATTTTTCGTATCTTTAGTCATGTGAGTACATATTATTTAATATTATCATAGTTATATCTAAATATATTTATGTATTACTGAGAACCGCAATTTGAATTTGTTAGTATTGTAATTATGATTAACTAACTGAAAATATGATAATTATGTCAACAGGTCGTTATAACTTGTGAAATATACTGTATTCAAATTACATTGAAAAATAAATAAGTGAAGTTGTGACAAACATGTGGGTCTGTTCTCTAACTGGTACTGTTCCGTATTAACACCCAATTTACGCAAGTTCGGTTCGGTTAGGTTCGGTTAGGTTAGGTTAGGGTAGGTTAGATTAGGTTAGGTTAGGTTAGGTTAGGTTAGGTTAGGTTAGGTTAGGTTAGGTTAGGTTAGGTTAGGTTAGGTTGGGTAGGGTTACTTTTGAAGTTTAATATTTTATTTTTCCTACGGTTTTCAGTGTGAATCATTTGATTCTAACATCCATTTCTGTCACAAATCACCCGAAATCCCCACTTTCCCCTTTGATTGTCAGGGGAGAGGGGGTCATAACTCAGAAACGAGTGATTTCCGACAGAAATGGACGTTAGACTGAAATGAATCACACTAAAAACCTTTGGAACAAGAAAATTAGCTTGAAAGGGAGTTGGGTGTTAATCAGGAAATTTACTCTTTAATTATTATCCTTATGTTTAGTCACTGCTAAGATTATAATAAACTTCTTAGCTATTACAACTCTTTTGCATCATTATCCATATGACTAGATAAATGTGGGTAAAATTATATTAACATTTACAAAGCTTACCTGTCAATATACTTCCTTGCTTTGACCTTCATATTTTTCCAGCTAGTCTGTAGTTGGAGTGGTGTTCTTTTTTGGACAATGGCACTCGAGTTGTACTGCTCGGTTATATTCTTCCACTTCTTAGATCTCTCGATGCCGCATCTGTCTTTTTACTTTCTATCATACTGTTTTCGCTGACTAAGCTTGCAAGGAGAGATTTCTCCTCCGTAAAAACTCGTCGAGTCATAGTTGCCGCCAATAATCTTGCAAACATTACTCTTGGTGGTGATTGACTGTCGTAATGGTGTAACTGAAACGTAATTGGCTGGAATTTCAGTGCTCGAATCCTTGCTCGTAATTGAAGATAATGCAAAACATTACCCGATCTGAGGTTCAAGTCGCTGTTCTGAATATGGGTAATCCACTGCAGGAAATCTCGGATTGAGGAATTTAAATTCGCAAGCCTAAGCCTAGCTCAAATCCGAGGCTTAAATCACTGTTCTGATTTCGGATCATATGTGACCGTGTGTGTGTGTGTGGGTATGTGTGTGTGTGTGGGATATTTTATGTTTTTGTCCAATTCTTTAATTCTTTTTTGGTTTCATATTCTTCTCTTAATTGTCTCTCTCTCTCTCTCTCTCTCTCTCTCTTTCTTTAAATTTGTATCTGGTAATGCTCTCCTTCTTTCTCTGTTTCTCTCTTCTTTCTTTCAAATAAATGTGTTCGTTCGTGCATGCCAGTGTAATCTCTCTCTCTCTCTTTCTCTCTCGGCCAGTCCACCTGTACACACACTATACTTGAGTATTCTTCCCTGACATACCTGTCCAAGTTAATTAGTAATTTTCACCTGTCTTATAAATAACTTGATGATGATTTATGGGGGTGAATTGAAAGCCAAGAGAGAGAAAGAAGAGAGAGAGAGAGAGAAATTGGGGGGCAGAGAAATATAAGGGACAGATAGAGAGGGGAGATAGAAGTGAGAAAGAAAGATTGAGGGGTCGAGAGAGGGGAATGAAACAGAGAAAAAAATTTTCTTTTGACGTTATATGAATATTTTCGTTATATTTTTATGTATTTTGACGACGTAGAGTTTGATGGCTTCTATCACGTGTTTGTTCTGATAATTATATTTTGCTCCTTCTGAGCTGACTGGTGGTGTTGTTGGTGTATGAGGGAAGTTTACTCAAGTGCGGTCAACCTTCTTTTTCGTAGATTTTAATTTCTTTGAATCCTTTTCGTATGTATGTATGTATGTATGTATGTATGTATGTATGTTTGTATGTACAGTATGTATGTATGTATGTATGTATGTATGTATGTATGTATGTATGTATAAATGAATTGTCACATCCTCTTCCGCCTATACAGGGTAGAAGATGCGGATGCAGTTTTATAGAGCTTGGGATTATTATAACATTTATATATAACTTATTCGTTTATGTTACGAGTGTCCGCCATAAGTTTCTGTTCTGGGTATAAAATACGTTGGTTTGGATGGTGTGTGGTTGGCTCTAGCAGTTTCGCTCATTACTCCCCCACACCGACTGAGCCATCGTTTACACATTGAATTTATTTTTTTACATTATCACTTTGTGTATTTATTAATGCAACAGTTGTCTCTCATGTGATATTGATTGTAATATGTTTTTAGTTACGTAAGATAGTGGAACTAATGTCAGTAGGGTCATTTAGATAAAGTTTGCGTTCTGGCCAATCCGGCTATGATAAGTCAGTTTTGGTCGGTAGAGAGGTGACGTGGGTGGCAGGCTGGTCCACTGTACCTGTAGGGTGCAGTCAGTCTCGGCATAGGCATAGCTGTCTTAAGTTGAGTATTCCCTCACTCTGGTGGTTTGGGAATTGGCATTTGACTATTGAGATTTGTTATTGCTTGATATTGATTTTGTGTGATCTTGTTGCACCTTCAGTCCTTACACAGTCACTTCCACACATCTAATTATTATTGTTATTTATTTTCTTTTGTCTGCATACGTGGTGGTGGGATTAAGTTATTAAATGTTCATATATTTATTGACTTGTTTAGGTTTTGACCTGTTAGCTTGACCTTTGTTGGGAGAACTTGAGATTAATTATATAATAAATAATATTGATATATTTGAAGGGCTTAGGTGAATTGTGTTTATATAACTATCTACCCTAACGTCGTAACAGTTTATATAATATACAAATATTTTATCTTACAGACACACACACACACACACATGGACGTGGAGAGGGTGTTGCCCTCTTATGTCAGGATGAACCACGTCTGTCACGTCTGGGTATGTTTAGTCAGAGATGATGTGGAGGACGTTAGGGATACGTGTTGTGCCATGTGCCCACCCTCGCCACACCGCCTCTACTTTATACTGTGTGGCATAATATCCACCTCGCTCACCCACCAGAGATATTCTTATCAATCATCTCAACCCACCTCAGTGTTAGGTTCCCATGTGTCAAGCTAGTACTATGCGAGGATTATAACGAAATTGACACCACTGATATCGAGAACCAGCTGTCTATTATCACAAGCTGAGAACTTCCCTACGCACGGTCAAAACACATTTGACCTTATCTTAACTGAGTTAGTGGACAAGTACCACCCACCTCAACCAATGCCTCCTATCGGGTGTAGCATACACCTCTCAGTGTTCTGGTCTCCAGCTCCCACTGCCAGCCAAATGCAGAAACCCTATATCAAGACCTACAGCCGATTACTGACTCTGCAGTGCGTTTCTTCTGGCAGTGGATAGTTCACCTTCTCTGGGCTGAAGTGCTTAGTGTGGATGATGTGGACACCAAATTGATAAATTATACCAACACCACCATGGAAGCTCACCACGAATTTTTCCCCGAGAAGTTCGTCAGATCACACCCAGCTGACTTGCTCTGGATCACACCTCGGATCAAAAGACTTATGCAGCAGAGAGACAGCGCCTTTTATCTCAATGACCACAACCGCTACAGGGCCCTTCGCAAGCAAGTCATCCGTGAAATATGCTCTGCAAAGAAGACTTACTACCCAACCAAACTGCACCACCTGAAGCAGATCAACATCAGTCTGGTGCAGGGTAAGCTAAAATAACTTTGGACTAAACAATAAGACACCCCCTCCCCTTCCTTAGCCACCTCACTAATGGTGATGCAGCTGAGCAATCAAGCAATCATTTTGCAACTATATTCCAGACGCTCCTCCGACATGACACAACCAGTCTCTTTGCTTACCCACCAGCCCCTTTTCCCACTGACTTAGTGGAAGAATTGAAGGTAGCAAAACGTTTGGACAAACATGAAGTTAAAACGCTCCACGACCTCCATTGACTTACCAATGAAGCTCTATGCTGATAATGCAGGTGCCATAGATAATTATCAGCGATTTGGTAATATGAAAACATTCTCCACCACTCACTGTCTCGTCAGCTCTCTCGACTACATATACCACCATCTGCAAAACTAAACACGTCTGTGGCTGTTGCCTTCATTGACTTCACCAAGGCATTTGACCTCGTCGACCACAATTTAATTATCAACAAAGCTATGGACCTTGGGTTTCGGAAAAGTCTTATACAAATGGCTTACAAACTTCCTTAGTGACCGAAGCCAAGCAAATACCCTTCTGAGGGGGTGTCTTCACCTTTCAGTCACTCACCTGTGGCGTCCCCCATGGCACCAAGATGGGACCGCTCTGCTTCCTCATGCTTATCAATGATGCCCTGGAAATATGTTGACTACTCCATCATTGGGGTCTGTGTGAACAACTCGGCTCCCGACTATAGCGCCCTCCAGAATATATTGACTAGACTCCAAAATTGGATCTCTAACAACCATGTTACCATCAACCATACCAAGACCATGCTTATGCACATCAACCTCTCCTCAGACCTTGTCCCACCTCCCCCCATTACTTTGGGCCCCAACACACTCCAGATTGTGAACTCCAGTAAGCTCCTCGGCGTCCCTATAGATGATAAACTAAATTGGAAAACACACGTCAGTACAATTGTGAAATCTTCCAGTTTTCGTCTCTACCTCCTCCGCTGACTCAAGACCGTTGGAGTTCCCGCTCCCAAGCTCCTCAGTGCTTATTCAATATTCATATTTCCCAAGCTCACCTATACATCCCCCGTCTGGTCTTCCTCCCTAAATGCCAGAAAAGGGCATGCAAGATTATTCTCTCTCCTCGTACTCCACATATCAAAACACTCTCAACACTGATGACCCTCTCGGCTCTCTCTGATCATCACCACGACCTCATCTGCAAATTTGGTGAGAAGCTTATGCACCACCCTCGACAACGGCTCCAGCTTCCACCCGAGATCCCTCGTCCGTGAATTGCTGTTCGACTCCACAACTGCATCCAGCCCATACGAGCATGTACTGATTGCTTTAAGAAGAGCCCAGTTCCAACTCTTGTCAAAAGTATCAACAACTCGTAGTCAACCAGTGTGTTCACTCACAGCCAATCTTAGTCTTTGCACTGTTTTTCATGTTGAATTGCCCTGTAGTATGTCCTTCTTCCCACCTTGTTTTTATATATCACTTTTTTATTACTCATGTTAATCAAGTGACCCATTCCCCAATTATGCAGATGATCCTGTGGGCCGGTCGGGTTTAGGTTACACTTAGTAAACAAAGACTGGACAACATCCAACATTTTTGGTGTCTGTCAGTATTTAGCATGGTTCACTTGATGATTTTTACAGCAATAGATTTTGTGGGGATATTGAACTGGCCCTTAAACTGTTAATTCCTTATGGGTTAATGAGGCTGGAAAATGTAAAAGTATATGGGGTTTTAGTAGCGAAACCCAATTTTCTGTTCTCTATTTGTTGAGGAACTATCTCATATACTGTTCCAAGTGTATATCACCGTAACTTAATCACTGTAGCTATGAGTGTTAAGATGAGGATGAAGGCTCTATTAAAGAGCTCTTCTAAATATGTCCGGTTGGTGTGAGGTGTTGAGTGACAATCCCGAGGCAACAGGCTTTTATTTGCTAACCTTAACAGTCTTAGGGCGGCGCCTCAAGGAACTTACACATCACGTGATGTGACCATGTCGCCTCATAGCCAGTGGAAAGTTATAGGGGGTGATATGATTATATAAACCCAATGTACTGGCCTGACATTTATATAGGAACTAAGCGGCTAATACATCGCTCGGTCACCACCTTCCGAGCTTCCACGAGGAATAAAACTAATCTCGTAGAATACATCCTATACATAAACCTAACTATGTTACAAACATATGCGTAGAAACTAAGTTGGGGACTCTGGAACCATAGGTCCATCAACTACTGGGGGCCTTGACTTAAGTGTCTTACGGGCTAGTATATTATGTATAATGTTCAACTTGGAAAACACTGACTTATAATAACA